ACAGAATACAAGGGGAAACCACACAAATAAGCAGTGGGCATGGTACTTGGTGATGGCGGTCCATCACAGAGAGGTCCCAGGTGGCAGCGAGAGAGCTCAGTCTTCCTGTTCCTCACTGCTCCCTCGCGCACGCCCTCTGTAGTGATGCCGAATGCCCGAAAAGGACGTCATGGCCCATGGCATCACTAAACTGTGCGCCTGAGGGAGCAGTGAGAAGCAGGAAGACTGAGCTCCCGAGAGACGATCCCCACTGGACCCCAGGGAGAGGCTACACACCAGCTCCCAAAGAGCAATAAAGAAAATAATGTTAGTGTGTGTGTGTGTGTGACTGTCAGTGAGTGTGTGTCTGTCAGTGAGTGTGTCTGTCAGTGTGTGTATGTCTGTCTGTCATATAGTGTGTATGTCTGCCAGAGAGTGTGTGTGTCATCAGAGAGTGTGTGTGTGTCTGTAAAAGAGAGTGAGTGTGTGTGTCTGTCAGAGAGTGTGTGTGTGTCTGTCAGAGAGTGTGTTTGTCTGTCAGTGAGTGTGTGTCTCTGTGTCTGTCAGTGTGTGTATGTGTGTCAGTGAGTGAGTGTGTCTTTCAGTGTGTGTGTCTGTCAGTGAGTGTGTCTGTTAGTGAGTGTGTGTGTCTGTCATTGTGATTTGGTCAGTGTTGCAATGGCCGCGGCTGGACAGTGGAGGACCTGGAGGTTCACAGAGGCACGCAATGCCACGTCACATTCCGACATGACACCAACAAGGTCCACCTTCACAGGGTTTCAAGGAGTAGTGGGAGGATCCGCTTTGGCACAGGGAGCGGACGGTGCCATTGGGGGTATTCCAGAGGCTGGACTCCAGAGTCACATACTGGCAGCTGCAATGTGAGTGGAATCTGCTTGTTGGCTAATTTTGTTTTTGTTGTTTTTTTTCAAGGGCCAGGGTTTAGTAGAAGGGCTGTGCTGGGATTTAGTAGAGGGGGGGACTGGGATTTAGTATAGAGGGAGGGACTGTGAATTAGAATAGAGGGGGGACTGGGATTTAGTACAGAGGGGAGCTGGGGTTTAGTAGAAGGGGGGCGCTGTTTTTTTTTTATACATACTCTACTTTTCAAAACAAACCTACGTTTCTATGAAAATTTAAGGTTTTGTATTTTTTTGCGGCCCACATAAACTGAAACCTTGTTTATGAAGCCTTTGATTTTGATATGATTGATTTACACCATATTTTAATCCATATGTAAATTAACTCATGCAATGTACCTCCCAAATGTTAGTCTAGCTTTTTACATATAACTAGCAAAATAACTTAAATTGCTACATGAAACATGTTTTATTTATTTTTTTAAATGATAACGTATTCTTTAAAAAGTCTTCAGAAAATATTTGCAGGTGTAAGTTTCAAATAATTTCAAAAATAAATTAAACACCATAGTGATTCTTGAGTGAAAACTTAAAATTCCTTGAAAAGTTTGAAATGTTTCTCATCTAGGTAATGTCTGTCAAAGTTTATATCAGTGTAATAAATAGCTAGGCTTAGGGAAGATTTTTTTCCTGAAATGGCTTCTTGGCACATTTTATGGTTACGTTTATACAATGCTGTCAGATGTGATATTGATGCATAGTACTTTAACTGCTTTTCTTTATCCCTCTTTAAACAAAAAGGCTTAAAGGCTTAATTAATAGACTAAAGTGCCACACATTCTATTTGTATAAATATAATCCTTATTTAGAAATTAACAAATGCAGAATTAACAGGTTTACAAATCTGCACTATTATGTTTCTTGTATGTATTTTTAAGGTTATTTGTCTATTTGTGACACATACTTTCTCACTAAAGATCATAATATCAATTACATTTTCATTTACAAGTATATTTATTCTATTTTATTAATATGAATATTGAGAAAACATGGAAATAAAGACAATAAATGCATCAATTGACTAAATCTAGAAATAAAAGCGATACTTGATAACCGACTATGAGATAAATTTGCTAAATATTTAGGTTCCAATTAAGTGTTTACTAATAGAAAAATAAACAAAATAGTCTAATATTGTCTAGTATTCGTAAGTGAATAATTAACTAAACATAACTAAAGTAAACTGCAATAGGGTATTTTTGGGCAAGACAGATTCCCAAGCCTGATAGAAGGTAAGTGTTTCATTAATAGAGCATTATGACCTAAATAACTAATTTAGAATGTGAATGCTGGGATACAGGTTTACAATTAACATTTAACAGGATATAATTCATACAGGGATATACAATGCATTTTGTAATGTATCTGATCTAACATGCGTCTTCTATAAGAGCAGAAAATTATATATGGATGTCACAAAGGACTAGAAGTTTACTGGATATCTTTAACAATATGTAAATGTCAGCATACTATCCGTAAAAGGTGAAAAACTAAAGTATATGACCTTAACATAGACAAAATCAAACCATAACTTAAGACCATGATGAGGACGAAAAAAAGGAATTCATGAACTATAAATGAATTGTGACTAAACTAACGTTTAAATATACACACAGGAAACACGGGTCTTTAAAAGCCAAAACAAAAAAACAAACTTGCATCCTGATAACTTGCCGAGGACTTCTTTATCATTTTTTGTCTATTAGCACCAAATAGACAAAAAAATACAAAAGGAAACGTGTAAGATCCATATCCCAGGTGTGTACCACTAACAGGGTTAATCATTAAAATCCAAATTTAAGTTGTTTTAGACTAAATGTAATTTTTTACATTTATTTTGCATAAATACTAGATTTATAAAATAATAAAATCAATATTGGAGCAAACCTAACTGTGCAGAATAAATGTATGAATTTCTCAAAGGTTCCTATTCCAATGAAATAGTTTTCAGTAAAGTTAATTCACAGAAATGTAAAATGTATAAAAAAATTTATTTTATTTTTTTTAAAAAATTTATTTTACAGAAGGATATCAAAAATCCACATATTTTGAGTACAATTGTCATCTAAATAGAATTGCAGATATAGAAACAAAACATAAGCAAAATAAACAAAATTTTGTTACCTCGGGTATAGTACAGAAAAATGCGTGTAAGGAGGAATAGAAAGTATCTAAAGTATGCAAATTTATATCACCTTTAGATATTCCAAAACGGTAAGCAGGGTGTAACAGCTTTTTTATATTTCATATAAAAACTCAGAGCCAAGCACAATGCAGACATCATGGACGCTATATGATCTGTGAGTGGATAAAATAAGGAAAAGGTGGAAGCTTACCTAGTATGTCCTCAAAGTCCTTCTTACTTACCCGATCGCCGCTGTTCCCCCGCCGCCAATTAGTGTTCCCCCGGTCTGGGGGTACTGCCTGACAGCCCCTTGGCAAATTAGGCCCACATGGGCCATGTGATCACTCTGAAAGAGCGGTCACATGGCCGCAATAGGAGTCCATAGGGGGACAGCCTCAACTGACAGGCAGTTTACCTTCATCTGTAAAATAAAAAAATGTATATGTTAGTAAATATAAAAAAAATATAAATGTATATATATATATATATATGAACATATCCTATATCTATATGATATATATCTATATATCTTATATATATATATATATATATATATATATATATATATATATATATAATGTCAAACTAAGTGTATTTTATATTAATATTTACATATATTAATATAAACATACACGTGTGTGTGTATATATATATATATATATATATATATATATATATATATGAAACCAAGAGGGCTGCACTCACCTGAACATGCATACATTATAGGGTGCTTCTGGGGCCAAAATATACAAAATACAAAATCCAGCGCACTCGCTTATTCATTAAACAAGGATTTAAAATCTTAGAGATTGTAATAGTTTTATTTAAAAACACCTCACCTAGGCAAAAAATAATGGGGGTTTAATTACATTATATGGTCAAATATTGCATAAGCATGCCACAACGTCAATATACCCCATTCTCGGCAGGTCCTACACTAACAGCCTAATGCTTGCACTTATGAGATGAATCCACTTACTTGGGAAATACTTCCTTACTGGGACTCTCTGCAAGTCAAGGCTAAATAGGGTCCTGGAATGAGGCACCTGTGACAGGGAGGGGTGCAAAACCAAGGAGTTGGCCTGGACTCCCAAATATATAAAAAAGAAACCAAGAGGGCTGCACTCACGTGAACATCCATACATTATAGGGTGCTGCTGGGGCCAATATATACAAAATACAAAATCCAGCTCACTCACTTATTCACTAACCAAGGATTTAAAATCTTAGAGATTGTAGTAGTTTTATTTAAAAACACCTCACCTAGGCAAAAAATAATGGGGGTTTAGTTACGAGTGCACTGGATTTTGTATATTTTGTTCCGCACCCATAGCGGAAATACAAACCTGCATCCAGCTCACTCACTTATTCACTAACCAAGGATTTAAAATCTTAGAGATTGCAGTAGTTTTATTTAAAAACACTTCACCTAGGCAAAAAATAATGGGGGTTTAGTTACGAGTGCACTGGATTTTGTATATTTTGTTCCGCACCCATAACGGAAATACAAACCTGCATCAAAGATACACTGACACTCATTGCTAAAATGAACCAACTCAACTTGGGTATGGACCCCATTGAATTCCATAGATAGCCATAGAATCATGGGAGTTGTAGTTCAGCAACATCTGGGGGCCAGAGTTTGAGGACCCCTGCTCTACACGGTAATTCCACATGAGCAAGGTGTAGAGGCAATGAGACAAACCCTATGTTCCGCCACCACATACAATGGTTCGCCACGTGAGTATGTGTTAGAGTTACTGTCACTTACGTTGAAGAATAACTATTTCAGATTCGAGGAGGATTGGTTCCTACAAGTTGCAGGCACGTCCATGGGGGCGGCCATGGCCCCCATGTATGCTAATTCTTATATGCACATCTATGAAAAAAAACACATTTTTTCCAAGTTTAAACATCTGATTATGGCAGGTTTTCATTATATTGAGGACCTGTTGATTTTCTGAAAGGGCAATGAAATGGAAGCTACAGAAATGGTTCAGTATCTAAATGGTCTTGATACACCGATCAGATTCACATCAAATATTAGTGCTTCTTCAGTACAATATTTAGATTTAGAAATATTGATCAAAAACCATGAAATCACACACTGTCTGTACAAAAAGGATACAGATCGCAATACGTTGCTACACAATAACAGTGCACATCCAAGGATGTTAAAGAAATCATTACCTAAAGCACAATTCCTTAGGGTAGCACGTAACAACTCTGATGAATCAAAGATGGAAGAACAGATTGAGGAAATGACGGAAAAGTTTCTGGAGAGGGGCTACAGACGCCAGGACCCGTTGAAAGCGCAACAAGATGCAAAAATTGCTAGCTCCAACACAGTGGCTAGAAAAGCTCCTGAATTAGTCTTTCCGATGTCTTACAACGACGCTTCACCTAAGGTTGCTAGAGTAATCAAACAGAACGACACCTTGCCAAAAGTTTAAGGAAAAGCCTTTAATTTGTTTTAGAAGAAACAAAACATTGAAAGATATCTTAGTCCACACGGATCCGGTGAATAGTTATAGAAAAAAATCCAGGAACCCAATATTGTGGCAGTGTTCGCTGCCTGGGATGTATCACATGTAGCCACATGACTCCATCAGGAACCTTTCAACATCCCCACAAAAGTAAGAACTATCGCATTCAACACACTATCAAGTGTAAAACCCCATATGTAGTATACAAACTAACGTGTCCTTGCGGACTATCATACATCGGGAAAACAGAAACAACACTTTGTGAAAGCATACATGGGCATAGATCAGCTATATGGGTAGTATATTGCGATGTACACTCTGAACAACCAGTGGCACAACATTTTTGGGATTTGAAACATCCTCTCTCAACCATCAAGTTTATTGCCATAACCATATCCCCCAACCCATGCGAGGTGGAGATCGGGAAAACATTTGCTCAATAGAGAGACTTATTGGATTTTTCAGCTGAATACAATTGCTCCCAAAGGACTGAATGAATTAATTTTGTATCATTCATTTCTTTAAAAAAAGACCCCTCAGCAATATGAATTATGTTTTTTTTTAAATTCTTTATTTTATTGAGGCATGTGATTATGGTGGTACAGAAAAAAGAGAGAGGGAGACTTGCAAGAGTTGTACAGATTAGGGTCACTATAACAGATTACAGAAATCTCCTAGGATTATCAACCTCATTTTATAATATATTAACAAGTTTAGACTATAAGTGGATAACAGGTATACTATTTGCTAGACAATGCGCATTTCCTGATAATAAAGACTCCTAGATTAGATTACATTCAGGTACCATATTCTGTTTGCTGTGTACTTAATACACGCTGTGAGTACCTGCAATAATGGCATGTCTAAGTCGTTTCTTTAGACGATGAGGATGTAGAATTTTTGTTATTAGATGACATGACGTTTAAACATAACAATTTGAATTTAAGTATTATCTGTTTCTAGCTTAGCTGAGTAGGTTTTCGCTGTAAACAGTTAAACACAGGCTATACAAACTGAAAGGGATTAGCGAACATGCTCACTATTAACATGGAGCTAGAAATTAGTATGGCTTAAGTATGTTGGATTATAGGCCATGCAAGATAACATCAGTTAGACAACATCAGTTACAGCTTATTTTTGAAGTGCATAGGTTTACAACCTTCGCTTGTATAACGCATAGGTACTTGGTAGGTCAGGTATATTTTTGTGTGGCTATAAATAATACAGATTAACTTTGCATGTATGTTTTCTTAACTTAACATAACACAAATTAACATCGCTGGAAGGTACACGTTTAAGTTATCGAGTGGGTTCCTAGATATAACACTTTAGAGCAGTTACTAGAGTCTGCACATTTTGAAAAGGGTATTACTGGCATGCATGAAGAAACAGTTGCATTGAATAAGCAGGTAGTATTTGAGCTGTGTTTAGCGAGCTAATTGCCTGGGTTAGTATATAATATTGCTTGCTCCACTGCTGTTGTGGGCAACTAAAAGATAGTGCTGTTAGTAGTGTCTCTGTTGTGAGTCACTGGGGCCAGTTCTGGCTGTATTGTGAAACAGACTGTGCAGTGGGATCTTGCAGTGACTCTACTGTAGGGTCTGCTGGGGCACAGATTGTCTCTGAGGCATTCCGCTTTAATCAGCCGACACCGGCTCTGAAGTGTTGGCAGGTGGGACCGGAGCGCTGATGTGGTGGGTACCTTAGTGGGGCACCGTCTTTTAGGAGAGCTCTCCATCTCTGTTTGTCCCTGGTGGGTGGCTGTGTTGTTCGCCGGTTAGCGTCACTGCTGTCGCCGTGGCTCCTGGGTTGCGGGGATGTGTAGTTGTGGTCGGAGGCTTTGAATGCCGCTGAGAAGTAAGTGGATCGAGTGTGCTTGGTGGTGCTTGGCGCCCTGGCCTCCTTCTTTGTTTCTGTCTGAGGGCCGCTCTGGGGGCTCTAGGTGAGTGTCCGCATAGGAGACGTCGGGTGGCAGGGCGAATCCACGCTGTTGCTTCTTTAATCACTAGCCTGTAGATCCATCTCCTGGTGCTTAGCTTATTCCATAGGCTGGTGTTTAGCCGGTCATAGAATTCTTGCATGTGAGCGGGTGGCATGGCCGGGACACTGTTTGTTACAGGTCGTGTCTGAGGCGCCATCTTGCGTGGACCCATACTGCCCTGGGTGCTATCAAGTGTTGTCGTTTGTTTGTGTCGCATTGTGGGGGTAACCGTCCCCAGCGAGGACCAGGATATCCCCCGCCGGTCCAGAGTGGGGGGTAGCTGGGCATTGTGCAAGCCATGCTTATGAGTGGATCCCGTGCTGGGCGATCGGCCATTTCCCCCAGGCCCTAGGCTCCGCTTCAGTGTAGGCCGCATGGCCGGGTCATGTGCTCGTGAATCGTTTCGATGCTTGATTAGTACCGTTTTGGTCTCAGTGAGGTTCTGTATTGTTTTCTGAGCACCATGGGCCGTTGGCTCGGTTAAGCTTGTTAGTATTGGCATTTTTGTGCCCTCCGGTGCAGGAGCTCTTAGAGAGCACGTCCGGCCATCTTGGTTGTCAGGCCCCGCCCCATGAATTATGTTTTAATGATATTTTACATGATTGTTTTTTATTATACTTATCAAGGTTCATAAATTAATTAAGAATATTGGCAAAGTGAGAAATGTGTTTAAAAATTGTTCTTTCACTTTAATACATCATTTAATCTTAATTTTTGTGGCACATGTTTCACTTTAAATTTCTAGTAACAGCACTTTAACAATTACATAGCACTTTAAATTCAATGTAGTAACACTTTAATTCTACTGTAGTAGCACTTTAAAATTACTGAAGTATCACTTTAATATTTATTCAGCACTTTCTAAATAAACATGCACTTTATAATAATAGCATCTATTCACTTTAGAGTTTAAGCCACTTTATATGATAAAAACACTTTAAATAATTTGTGGTACTTTAGTATCATTATGTGTACATTTATGAATTCTACACCTATGCCAGTTCCTATGTTAACCTCTGATATATGTATTTTTTTAACCTTATCAACTATTCTGCATTGCTCTAATCTCTATTTTGGCACAGTCCACGCTAATAAGTATACACCTATTACTGCTTTATCATATGTGTGTTATACACAACCTAATGTTAATATTGACAAGGAACAACAGCTGTTTGAGCAAATTGAGAAAGCTGCAAATCTGGGTAACACCTTATTAGAGATTGGAGATTTTAATTATTCGGACATAAATTGGGACAGAGGGACTAGTAGCTCAGCAAAGGGAATTAGGTTTTTGAACTTTGTTAAATGACACCTTCATGTCACAACTTGTACAAGCACCAACTAGAAAAGATGCTTGTCTGGACCTAGTCCTAACAAACAATGTTGATATTTTGATCAACATTCAAGTAGGTGAGCACTTGGTAAATAGTGATCACAATATAGTGCCCTTTGGAATAAACTCAAAAAACAAAAGCACATGGGGTATACTAAAACATATAATTTTAAAAAGGCAAATTTCTATAAGTTAAGGGCAGCTTTACAATATATTGACTGGCATAAACTCTTTAGTGAAATGAACACTGAGGATAAATGGAACATCTTCCAACAGATATTAGAAAGGTACATTTCTCAGTATGTACCATTGGGTAATAAATATAAAAGAAACACATTGAAACCAATGTGGCTTAGTAGAAAAGTAAAACAAGAGATTAAAAATAAGAAAAGGGCATTTAAAGCATTTAAATCGGACAAATCAGAGGTATCCTATAAAAGATATAAGGAAGCCAATAATGCATGCAAAAAGGCAATTAGATTCGCTAAACTTCAAAATGAAAAAATGATAGCCAATGAGAGCAAAACCAGCCCCAAATCATTCTTTAAGTACATAAATTCTAAAAAAACAAAAAATGAAAGTGTAGGTACACTAAAAACTGGAATGTCGGTGTTAATTAATGAAGACCAGGAAAAGGCAGAAGTTTTAAATAACGTTCTTAAAAATTGTAATTGGTTAACTCAAGACAAGGTACTGCAACAACTAAAGAAAGTTAATATAAACAAAGCTCTAGGGCCTGATGGTATTCATCCATGAGTACTTAAGGAACTAAGTGTAGAAATAAGTGAACCTCTGTTTTTAAACTTTCAAGATTCCTTTCTTTCAGGAAGTGTTCCGGAGGATTGGAGGAAGGCAGATGTGGTTCCTATATTCAAAATGGGTTCAAAACCCCTTTTCCTATTTTCACATCTCTTTTTAGATTTTTCCTTAATAATTTGTTTTTATTATTATTAGTTTTTGTTTAATTCTGCCCCCTTTTTGCTTATATAGTATTCCAACAATAATTTCCTTTTTTTTATTTTTTTTATTTTTATTTAATTGCTGTTATTCAAGCCACATAGGTATATTTAAGAGTTAGTTGCTATCACTAAACCCTTTTCACTCCTCAGATCTAATAATTCTATACATTTATTTTTTAAACCCCCTGACACCTCATACAGCATTGGATCCATTCATATTATCCTCCTTTCTCCCTTTACTTTTTTACTTGAATTCCATTTAACAAAGTTTATTTTTCCCATCCGATTCCCTTTTCAAAGATGGCCGCCCCCTTCTCATCTCTGACACATTACTGTCCGATCACTACATTTCCTATAATACCCAAAATACCCAGAGCATTAAAATCTCTCATCTGTAATTCCGGTTTTACTAATCACTATATGTTTCACAAACCAATACATTTCCACTTTGCAATGTATCCCTTTTTTGCTATCATAACTTGGGAATATATTACCTTTCTATATATATCATAGAATTTCAAAACTAAGTATAATATAACCTTTTATGAAGGTCCATAAGTTTCAGTAGTATATATATTTTTAAAAACAAGTCTTATTTGCAGTGAATTTTGTTAAAATGTTTTTTAAATAAAAAATAAATAAAAAATCATGTGACCATGGTGCCAAAATCCACAAATTTTATGTCATTAGGTCT